CATCCTGCTCACGAGGATTGTCATGAGCCTCTGGCCTCTGCGGGCAGCTGCAGAGAGATCCACTGAGGCCCAAGGAATGGGGAGACCCTGTATAAGGAGAGGGTTTGAGATAGAAATTGGGGTAAGGGGTGGAGGTAGGCAGGCACACAGGCATCCTTCCACCACTCCCCACACACATTCCCCTGCATCTCAGTGCTACAAAGGCTCACAGACAGCCAACAGACAGGTTAAGAACCTGGAAGATGACACCAGTGGGTTCCAGCAGCAGCATAGCAAAAAGTGGCCTTGGCGTAGCATGTGCTGTATGCCACCACACCCCAACCCAGGAGGAAGAACCCCTGCCAGAAAGAGGGCAATCTGGGGCTTAGTTTTCCACTGCCAAGGACAATCCATGCCATCTCCCAGATCTTGTGTTGTGCATGGGATCCTAGGCTCTGAAAGGGGGACCCTCCTTCAGGTTCCCTAAAACACCTGCCAATGAAGCATTGGCCCAGGATGGTGTGTGGCTTTCAAAGGGCTATTTTTAGAGGTGCACGTTGCTCAAAGAGGTAAATAGGGAAGCAGGATGTTGTTTCCTTAGGGCTTTTTATACAACTTATGTCTTTTGTGGCTTTCCACACTTTCATTGAACCAATCGGTTAATACGTCCCCTGAAAGGAAGCAGCACAGTGTTTTAAAGGGCCCTGACCTACCAGTTGCACATCCCAAAGTTAGAGGGCTAGGGGAGAACAGAGATCAGATGCCTGCTTCAGTTTCTCACCTCTGTGGCAATCCATGTGGAAATTTATGTTTGTAGCCCCCCGTTCTGGCCCCCTTTGACCTTTACAACCAACCACACAGGAGAATGTGGGAGGGAGAGAGGGAAGAGTTTAAGGGAGGAGGAAGTGGGGTTGGAGTTAAAAGAGGGCTTATGGGAAGCTGAGGTATTTGTGGGGACTGGAGCAGCGTGCTTCAGGCTTCTCTTGGTGACACACCTCACTTCCAAGCACCAGCTCAGGAAACACCAAGGTGAGCTCACAGCTCAGACATTCCACCAGAATAATCATTCTCTCCAGGAAGGGCAGTGTTTCTAGTGGAAAGAGTTTTATACTCAGGCCTGGGGTTGAATTCCCAACATTTCCATTTTCATTGTGACGTTGATAGTAGTAGTTCTGAGAGGTAGCAGGGGGAGCTTTAGCCCTTCCCCAAACTTCCATCAACTCCACCATTTTTGATGTGACATCTTCTCAATCTTAAATGCTTCACTTCCAATACAAAGATAAATAAAAGACAAATATATTTTCAGTATAAGACAAAATCGCCTAGTCTCTGTACTATCTTGGGTAAATTAATAAACATCTCTAAGTCTCAGATTCTGTCTCTAAAATGAGATCTACAGCATAGGGTTGTTGTGGATATTAAATGAGATAGTGTGTATAAGGCACTTGGCACAGTGCCCAACATACAGTAGGAACTTAATACATATTTACTATTTCCTTTTCTTGGAAAAGGGAATAGTAAGGTAAACATAGACTCTGAGGCAAAACATATCCACGAAGCCCAGCATTGGATCATGCTTTACCTTCTCTTTCTCTATCTCCCCCAAAGATAAAATTTAGCATAGACTCTGATCCTCATGTTCTTGAAGTTTCCCCAAGACGTCAAAGCTGTGAGTGGGTTAGGAAAGATAGTTGGGCCTTTTAGAGACTAGGAAGAAGATGTAGAAGGGTAGAGAATGAGTCTCTCCCAGGCACATGGCTGGTTCCTTGATTTGGGGGCATCCCACAAGTTTCTATCCAGGTTTACATTACTTGGGAAGGCAGGTTTTCCCCTGGGCAGTGGCTCGCTTTGTGAGAAAGAAGAGGGAAGGGAAGGTATCTACTAAAGTCTGACCTGGTTTCCAGCAAGGACTCATCTTCAGTCAGTCAGTCAAGCAGTAGGCCCAAGATTTGGGCTGCCCAGGATTTTCCCAGGGTGTTACCCTGTTACCCCAAACAACCTACTGGCAAGGAATACAGATCTTGGATCAAACACCCACACCCACATGTACTCACACATGAAGCCTCTCATATAATCACATGCACACTCTGACCAGAACTAGAGTTCTCAATCCCTTCCTCCCTCTGTTTTATCTCTGCTGTTCTCTCCAGTCCACAGAAATCCAGGAGTATTAGACATATTTGAAAACACACACACACACACACACACACACACACACAGGATTCAACCCTACGCCTAAATGCTGAGAATCCCAGATGCTGAGGAATCTGAATAGAAGTGTGTAAAACATGGAGCCAGAGCTATGCCTTGCTGTGCCAGGTCTTCTATGTGCATCTATTCCACATGGTTCCAATCTGAGCACTGCTCATGAGGAGTCCAGTTCTTTCTTGGGATGAATTTGGCTGTGGGAGGGATGGTTATGTGTGTGTATTTGTGTGTAGAAGTGAACTGGAATGTCCAGCTGGCAGGAGGGTGGGAGGCTGTGTTGAGAGGCACCTACTGTCTTAAGTTCAAGGTTGAAGTCAAAGAGGGGCCAAAGTTAGATTTTACTCCAGGTCCAAAAAGCTAGAAAACTCAACCTTTTCTCCCGCCCTTTGATGGCTCTGGATCCCATAGTTTCTGTACTTCTCCCAGCAGCTATTGGCAGAGACAGGAACAGGGTGGAGAGACTAGAAGTTTCTGGAGTCGAGAGAGTTCTGCCTCTTTTTTCTTCTGTATCCTTCTCTCCAGTTGTAGAAGGAAGATGTATACCTTCTCTCCAGTTGTTAAGAGAAAAGAAGGGGCCCTATTAAGAAGTGCAGAGGAAGGAGGGGATAGAGGTAACTCCCCTCCTTTTCCTCCTCCCTCCCAGTCTCTGCCTTCATACTTCAGATAGACTGCAAAACAACCCAGCTTTGTGCCAAGAGCTAGGCTGACTGAATTTCAGCACTCCCTGCTTCTGCTTCCTCTTCCCTCTCACTGGCTGCAAACTTGGGGATGGAGTCTTGATCACGGGCCCTTCCCCTGTAGGGGAAAAGACCAGCAAGTAGACTGGGGTGGGCAGGATCACCACAGCAACAGACAGAGCTGTGGGCGTTAAGGAGGGTCCAGGACCACTAAAGGGAGTGTGCCAGTGGTGGTGCTGGGGCCAGTGGGGAGCTGCAGGTCATGCCAAGCTCCCCTAGTGTGAGAAGAGCTCTGGCAGATGCATGGGCTCTCAACCTGGCTCTGATGAAGAGTCAGGACGGGCACAGAGAGCATGCAGTATTGTACATGGCAGCTCACCTCCCAGCTTTCCCTCCAGAGCACGGAGAGAGGAGGGAGAGGGGGTGGAGGCTGAGTTCAGAACCCAGTTTTCCTGAAAAGCCTCTTTCCTTGTTTGTCCTGGCCCCTCCCAGTACCTCCCACGCTCTGCTGCAGCTTCCCAGCTCTGGGCCAACTAGCTAGGAGAGGCCAGGAAGAGCCCACTGCCCTCCCTCTCCCTCTCTTCTTGGGGACGGGGAATAAAGCTAAAGCCCAGGGCATCCCAGGGAGCCCATCCTCTCCTGGGAGTCAGGGGGTCAGTGGTCAAGATAGCTACCCAGCCACCCCCACTTCAGTCAACATTATGGTCTTTTCAGCTACTCACTTCCTTACTGCCCAGCTTACTCTGTCCTTTTGCCCACAATCTTCCTTTTCTCTACCTCTTTGGTGGCTGTCACATTTCTAGGCATCCATCAGTGCTGCCCTGGTTGCTGCCTGGGAACAAGTAGAGAAGGGCTTTCTGTACAGAACCCCCTGCCCTCCCAGAGGCACTGGGACTGAGGAGGAACAGGCAGGAAGCAGCAGGTGGCCCAGGCTCACCTGACTTCCATCTCTCCCCACAATGCAATCCTCAAATGGGACAGACCTCTACCTGAGACCCATTTTCACCAAGAGGGCAATTGCTGCTCTGAAAGGAGATGCCGTATGTTTCCAAACCCTGTTCAGTGTTTCACTTGTGCATCTGCCCATTTCCCTGATGACACTAGGAATGCATGTCTAACTTCGGGCCAGTAACTTCTTCTAAATCTCATTTTCGTCATCTGTGAAGGAGAGAGGACTAAGATGATCTTTGTGTTCCCTTCTAAGTTACCTTTTGTAGAATTCGCAGCTACTCTCAAGTACTGGGGGTGGTGTGTATGTGGGAGATGGTATCACTCTGCCCCCAGATCCCTGCCTCACCTCTAGCCCCATTACTTTACGGCTTCAAAGCACTTTCATCATAAAGTTCCCCTCCCCTGTTTTTTTTATTTCCCAGACAAAGGGAAATGACTCACCTCAAAGTCACCTCGAGTGAGTGGGGTGGTGTCATACAGGCAAACAGGGAGTCCCTAAGGACATCCTCACCCCCATGGCAACCCCTTTCCCTAGGGGTGTTCTCCCGAAGGGGAGTATAAGGGAAAAGGGGTCATTTTTCCTTTGGTTTCAGGACTTAGCCCTGAAGCAGAAGTTCAGCTTAAGCTCCTGACTGGGGGATTAAGCTCCCTTCCCTACTGGTCATCTCTCATTTTGTCACCAGTAACCTCAAGGCGAGGTCAGTCCTGCAATCACGTGAAGCCCTCACGTTTGCAAGGTTTGCAGAAAAGGCCCATTAACTTTGATCTCCAGGGAACAGCCCAGTTTGTCAATTCCTTCCCAGGAATTCACATGCCTCTGCCATACAGGCTTTCCAAACACGCCACCGTGACTCTTCAGCGCACCCCACCCTACCCCGTTCTCAGCTCCCTTCGGGCCCCAGTCACAGCTTCTGCCAAGCGGAAAGGGGGAAATATACGCAGTCCGCCTGTTTTGCCAGTGGACTACAAATCCCGGCAGTCTTGGCGTTACGCAGGCGCACAGAGCTCAACGTGCCTGCTGCTGGAAAAGTGTGTCACTGGGGCACGAGGCGCTCCCTGGGATCACATGGTACCTGCTCCAGTGCCGCGTGCGGCCCGGGAACCCTGGGTTGCTGGCGCCTGCGCAGAGCCCTCTGTCCCAGGAAAAAAGGCTGGGGCAAAAGGCGGCTGAGATTGGCAGAGTGAAATATTGCTGCCGAGGGAACGTAGCAGGGCACAAGTCTCTCTTCTTTGCGCCTGGGTGCCCCGTTTCTCCCCATCACCTACTTACTTGCTGACTGCAACCTCTCTCCCTGTGGGACTTTTGCACCGGCAGCTCTAGATTCGCTACCCTGCAGCGCTGTGGAGTCTTCAGGCAGTGACATCCCGTGCACTGCAGAGACCCGACCTTCCTTGCTTCCTTTTAGCCAGAACAACTTTAGGCGATTCCCCTTCCTCCTCCCCCATACTCTTTTTGCCCTTCTCATGCAAATCAGACCTCGGTTACTTCAGCGTCCTACCCTTGTGCAGGGCTGCAGTTCGACCACCACAAGACCTTACTGCAGGGTGCCTCGGATCCTGATCGTGAGCCGAGGGGTCCAGTCCTCACCCTCAGCCAGTGCCAAGGGGGCGAAAGCGGCAATTGCAGCCTCCAGTTTGTGTCAAGGTCCAGTTTGAATGACCGCCCTCAGCTGGTGAAGACATGACGACCCTGGACTCCAACAACAACACAGGTACTGAGATTCCTTTTACTATCATCATCCTCCCTCTGTCACTGTCCCCTCACTTCCATCTATGTCTTAGAACAAGAGGAACTTTGTAAGGTACTGGGAACTCCCTCCTTCCGTAGATTTGCTAACATGATGGGGATCATAGGCTGGAATTTCCAAAGCGGGTTGTTCAGCCTGGGAATGCGCCAGGAGGCTCCCCACCGCCACCCCTGAGTCCCAGTGCTTCTTTTAGCCGAAGCACTCAGATCCTGGGGAGAAGGAAACGTTGAGCGGGTACGTATGGTGAGAGAAACAGTTTAGAGGGGCTGGGAGCTTTTTAACAGTGCCCCCAAACGCCCCCATCTGTCCATCCCCTGCAGTGTGGCATGCCTGGCCTTCTCGGAAAGAGAATCCCTCTTTCCTCTCTTCCTCTTTCCCTAGTTTCCGCAGGCTCGAGGGAGCCTGAGAAGCCGTGAGGCGATCGGGGCTCCAGGTAGATGGGGCCTGGGGTAGGGTCGAATCTCCCTGGGGAATCCTCAGGGCGCGGCACCTGTGGAGCCGGGAGAGTGGTGCTTGGCCCCAGGGAGGACACCCACGGCACCCGGCCTGCCGGGAGGGCTCACATGGCTGCGGAGCCGAGCCCACGTGCTGCGTTTGTTTTCATTCAGTAGAAGCCGCGGCCGCCACCCCATTGGTGGTTGCCTCTCGGCCCCGTTACATAATGAGCTCCGCCCCCCAGGTCGCCCGGGCAACGCGTGTTCCCATCTCTCCTCCAGTCGGTTCTTCTAGCTTAGCTCGCGGTTGCGGCCCGGCCCAGGATCCGGACGCTGGGGCGGGGCGGGGGCGGGGCTGCTGCTGCGGATTGACGGGAAACAGAGAGGGCGGGGCCTCGAGTTCCGGGGTTCCTCGTTGGGGATCCACGTGCAAGAAGCACACGTGGAGCTGGTACGTGAGGCCGGCTGAGGCCCGGCTCCCGCCCCGCCCCGCTGAGATCTGGGTGAAGCTGGGCTGACTCACCGCACCCGCCTGCCTCCTTTTCCTGTCAGCCTGCCGGGCACCCCCTCCTCCCTATCACCAAGCGGAGTAAGATGGAGCCATCCCTAACCTCTCATGGCCTCATGTTTACACTCCTCAAAGGGACCTCACATCTAGCCACCTTCTCCTCATTCCTTTCTTCTTTATTCTGTTTGCACCTACTTCACTGTACTGCTTTTAGACTCAGCTTCTCCATATTCCAAATTCTTTCTGTTCTCCAAACATCTTAGTCCTGCAAACACTGCCCTCCCCCCACCACCAAACAAGCTGCAGTTTGCCTCCTAAGGGACTTCCCCCAAACAGCTACATTCCAGAATCACAGCTGAACGGATATTAACTCTGTTTCACCTTTTTTTTTTTTTTTCACAGAAAGGTAAACAGACGCAGAGAGGGGAGTTGATTTCCTTTAGGTGGTGATAGATGTAGATCTAAAGCCAGACTCTTTTGAGCATGCCCCTCACTTCCAAGTTGGAAGTCTCTTCGAATGAAGGTCTTACTCCCCTTCTGGGGTTGGGTGAACTAGGTCAAGTTCATCTGCCACCTAATGAATATCCCATGTCCCCACCTCAGTTCTGAAACTGTAGAGGCTGATCTGTTGTGCAACTGCTTTACAGGGAGCTGGGTTCACCCTGACCAACCTTGAGCTATTTTAGGGTTGCCCTGCCCAGCTTAGTGTATGTCAGTGGGTGAGCAAGACATGTGCCTCTGGAGGCAGGTGGTGTGGCCTGTGTCAATTCACATGTGTCCTGCAATCCTCCCTTTTCCCACCCCACCCTTGGTGGGCCAAGTTAGGTGCTTGGGAAAGGTGTGGCAGGTAGGTCACCTTTTTCTCCTTTTAATACCATGGGAACATGGCCACCTAGTTGGTAGTATAACCAGAAGGCTGAAGTCCCTGAATGGCCAGAGAGCCAGGGTCATTGCCACCAGGCTGAGAGATCTGGAAGGGGGAATTTCAAAGCCCTAGGTTGGACAATTTGTCCTTTGTGTCCACCTCCTGCAACTTGCACTGTTAAGTCTTTCCTGGATCAGAGGGAGGGTCCACTTTGACTCTTGCTCTTAGAGGTGAGGGGAACCAGGGTAGGCAGATTTTCAGTACTTTCAGGACCTTAGGAGAATACATCTTCTAGTTTTGAGAAATCTGTCTTGCTTTTGTAAGATCTTGACTTTCCTCATGGCTGGCTAGCTGGCCCTCTGTGGTCTCATCCCTGGAATGGTCTTGGTGTTAAAATCAACAGCTTT